CAGGGGACAGCCATCCAGGGGACAGCCATCCAGGGGATAGCCATCCAGGAGATAGCCATCCAGAGGATAGTCATCCAGAGGACATCCATCCATGGGATAGTCATCCAGGGGACAGGTAACCAGGGGACAGTCATCCAGGGGACAGTCATTCATGGACAGCCATCCCAGGAACAGTCATCCAGGGAATAGCCATCCAGAGGACAGCCATCTCAGGGACAGCTATCCAGAGGACAGCCATGCAGGGAAAAGCCATCCAGAGGACAGACCTCCAAAGAACAGTCATCCAGGGGACAGTCATTCAGGGACAGCCATCCAGGGGACAGTCATCCAGAAGATAGGATCATCCAAGGAACAGTAAGCTAGGGCACAGCCATCCAGAGGACAGATCTCCAGAGACAGTCAGCCAGGGAACAGTCAGCCAGAGCACAGTCAGCCAGAAGACCATCATCCAGGGCACAGTCAGCTAGGGCACAGCCATTCAGGGCATTTTGGAGTGGCTATCCCCACGATAGTGTGTCAACCATTCCTGGGCTTGTGCAGAGGAAAGGGACCTCAGTAGAAGTATAGGCAAGTGGCAAAGCTTCTTAGGGGGGCTGCAAGAAGTTTTCCCCTGAGGCCAACTGGGTGGATACCTATAGGACAGCAGTCCTCAGCTATGTTAGCCCTAGTGGATAATACCCATGTCCATCTGAACCAAAAGATGTGTGTCATGGTGTGAAAAAGAGGTGGGTTGTGTCCCTCCCTGCCTGGGTCTTGGGTCTGGCTCTTCCCTGAGGCCTCAGTGAGATTCAGAATGTGCTCTCTGCCACTCTGCAGGGCTGACACCCTGCTTACCAATGGGACACATGAAAGCTTGGCTGCCTAGCTCTGCCCAGCTTTGTTTCCCTTCCAAGGCTGAGCAGGGAAGCAGGACATCTGGAACTCCACAGATGGCCTGGTCACTTCTGCAGACTGACCAGGTTTGCACCATGGCTTCCACTAAGGGTGACCCACACACATGTGCCCAGTAGCAGCCAGATGACTGAGCTGCACTCTGCACATCCCACTGCAGCCAGCAAGGAGGAGCCCTGCACAGAGTCTGTGGGTGACCTGGGAGCACACGCAGAGGGACTGTGCCCTGAAAGTACACAGGGTCAGGCTATTGCAGGGGACAAAGGGTGGGGGTTAAATGGGATCCATACGGTTTGGGGCTAAACACTGCAGGCACAAGCAAGGAAGAAAAATAAATAAAATTAAAAAATTAAAAACTCCCACCCAAAAGAATGCAAATTAACAGATAAGAAGCGACAGCTTCCTTGGATGAGAAGGAACCAGCATCAGAACTCTGCTGGTGTGAAAAACACATTTTTTTGACACTCCAGAGGGTCACCTGAGCTCTCTGGCAACGTTTCCAGCCACAACAAACCCAGAAATGGAAGACAAAAAGTTCAAAATTGTTGTATATGTACTATGAGATATTACTCACTCATAAAAAAGATAGAGATCTTCTAACTTTTCTAATAGCCAGGATGGAAATGGAGACCATTCTCCTAAGTGAGGTATCAGGGAGTGAGCAACAAACACCACGTGCTCTATGGGAAACTGGAGCTGTGCCTCAGCACCTGAGCACTCACAGTGAGAGTGACACAGTGAAGTTCACACCGGGGGCAACGGCAAGTGACTTGAGCAGGCATTTTTCTTTTTTTTCTTTTTTTTTGGGGGGGGAGGGAGAAGGGAGTGGGGAATGGGTGGAGGGAGGGGGTTTAGAGGGATCACTTCTGAGGTTTATCTTATAGGGGTACAAGTGAATCTTTCTAAGAGTAGAATGTGAACATTTTAAAACAATAACTGAGAAAATGACATGAAGGCTGTGTTGACCAGTTTGATGGAAGTATTTCGGATTGCATGTGAAAACCCCACACTGTACCCCAAAAGTGCATTAATGTACATAGTTACTATTCAATAGAAAAAAAAAAGAGCAGGCATTTTTCAAAAAAGGATATACAGATGGCCAACAAACATATGAAAAAAATGCTCAGCATCACTAATCATCAGAGAAATGTAAAATAAAACAATGAGATCCCACCTTACTCTAGACATTGTGACAATATTAAAAAGGCCATGAACAATGGATGTCGGCGTGGATGTGTCAGTAAAAAGAAATAGTCAGTCATATGCTGCTGAAAAGAAACACTCACTCACATGCTGTTGGTGGAATGTAAATCAGCACCACCTCTATGGGGAGCAGCATGGTGCTTTCTTAGAGAACTAAGAGCAGATCTAACATTCTACCCAGCAATCCCACTCTAGCTATCTACCCAAAGGAAAAGAAGTCAGTATACCAAAAATACACCTGCACTCTTGTTTTCCACAGCACCATTCCCAACAGTAAAGATATGAAATCAACCTAAGTGTTCATTAGCTGATGAGTGGGTAAAGAAAATGTAGTTTACATGAAGTATGCACACACGTGTGCATACACATGTACATCGTGGAGGACTACTCAGTCATAAAAAAGAAAGAAAAATGTCTTTTGAAGCAACTTAGGTGGGACTGGAGGCCATTATCCTCAGTGAAGAAACTCAGAAATGGAAAATAAAATAACTCATGTTTTCACTTATAAGTGGGAGCTAATCTATGGGTACACATGGTCATGCAGAGAGGAATAAAAGACATGGAAGACCTTAAAGGCAGGAAGGTGGGAGAAGGATGAGGGCTAAAAAGTTACTGTTGGCTGCTCTGTACACTATTCAGGTAACTGGTATACTATTATTAATTGCTATACGATCTACAATGGAACAAAACTATACTTGTACCCCCTAAAGCTATTAAAATAAAAAAAATAGAGATCTAAGTTTAAGCCTTAAGTCCTTTTAATTATTGGATTTTTTAATCTCATTCTGCCCAACTTCCACTCCTATAAAGGTAAGGTTTCGGAATTCATTGGAATACAGTAGTTAAATTACTTCATGTAAAGGGCATAGAGATGAGCCTTGGTAAAGGTTGCTTCCCCTTAATTTAGAGAAGTGATAATGGTAGAACAAGTTACGAATGAACAAAAAACAGAAAAGTAGAACAATGTTCATATGAAAGAACATAAATGGTTTCAGTGATTTTTTTCCAGTTTAGTGATTTTTTTAAAGCATTATTTATAAAATGACTTTAGCAGCTTCAGAGTTGGTCTACCAATTCTCCAAGTGTCCATAGGAAAAAAGCTAACAAAAACTTCTTAACATCACCATGTATAAAAATTATCCATACTTTTTAAAGGGAACAAATGAGTCTGTGTTTCGGGAAGGCCCCACCCAAAAACACAACTGTTGCTAAGCCCTGGGTATCTTTCTGGTGCTTAGTCATGGAGGCAGTGGCTGGGTCAGATTAACTCTGCCCATCTGGTGAAGGTTTGCCTTTATTTGGGGGATATGTGCCATCAATTACTACAGGTAAAACCACCTGGTTACTATCTTTAGCCACCCCTGTATCAGAGAATAGCAAAATATTGAAATGTCGCTTCTTCAACTTGAAATGTTTTTCCCATCTAACTTGTAGACACTGTAATGGAAATAATGGTGAGCAAGTTTGAAACATGACCAAACATGGACCGAACAGGGAGCTGCCTGTCACACTGAAAGGTGCTTTCTTACCATTAACCTGAACGGATGAGGCACTTATTGACAAGGCTCTTGTATTTCTTATCTTCTGGTTTAAGAGGCTATAGATTTTCTTCTCTCTCACTGCCCTTTGCTCAGGAGAGAACTGGAACACCATGATGACATCAGCTCTCACACCATCTTCCTCTGGACTGTGATGCAAGAGAGAGAGGCATATTCAAAGAATATGTCTGGTGTTGTCCCACAGCCTCCCCACAGCTTCTTCCTATTAATTACACCATGATGCTGAGAGTTAATCCTCTCAAATTACACTCTCCCACATGTCACTCTAACCCGAGGTCATCATGCTCCCGCTTCTAGCTGTCATTATTCTGAGTGCATTTTCTCTACTAATTTGAAGGCATATTATAGCATGACTCAGACCAAAAAAACCAAAAAACAAAAACCAAACAAACAAAAAAATCATCAAAATCATAAACTCTGAGGGTGAGAAGAAACCTTTGTGTTCTCTTGAGCCAAATCAATCATGTGTGATCGCTGACCACGTCTATAGCAGCCACAAGAAGTGGTCCTCTAACCCCACTGTAGTGATTAAAATGATGTAAAATTTAATTCCCTGGGAAGGCTTGTTTCCTTTTTGTCAGCTTCAATTTTAAGAGTTCTTAATTTTGGATTGAAATGTCTCCCTATCCCCCTTTATCTTCTATTCCAACAAGTCTTAGCTCTAATAGTTGGAACATACATAAAAGACTTTCTTCTTCCACCTAAAATATGGCATGCCCAGTTCCTTGAATTTCTTTCATATGAACAGATTCAAATTTCTTTACCTGGAACTGAATGTTTACATGCTCTTAAAATAGAAAAATTGCATAATTACAGATCTTTCTAAAAAATTGAAACCTGGGCCAAGTATGGTGTCGCATGCCTGTAATCCCAGCACTCTGGGAGGCTGAGATGGGTGGATTGCTTGAACTCCCAGAATGTCAACACCAACTTGAGCAAGAGCGAGACCCCTGTCTATACTAAAAATAGAAAAATTATCTGGGCACAATGGTGGGTGCCTGTAGTCCCAGGTACTCGGGAGGCTGAGGCAGGGGTATCACTTGGGCCCAGGAGTTTGATGTCGCTGTGTGTTAGGCTGAGCCATGGCATTCAACTCAGGGTATCAGAATTAGACTCTCAAAACAAACAAACAAACAAATAAAAAAACCCTCCAAAATGAAACCAACACATATTAATCTTCCTCATCTCTTATTCTTACCCCATAAAAAAATAAAAGCTCTATAAACACTAGAAGTCCACCTTCCTGGATCTTTTGGCTAAGAAAGAAGAAATTATATCAATTATTAGAGATTTTATGTATTATAGTCTGTCTAGGCTCTAGAATATAAGGATTTAATAATTAGAACTTTATGTAAAATTGGTAAACAGATAGACAAGTAATTTTACCTTCTACATGATAGGAACTAAGAATGTTTAGCAAGTAGGATTTCTCTGGATCCAAATAAAACCTGCACAGTGACTGTGGCTGTAACCCAAATGAGTTCATAAGACTATGATCATGGTAGTAGAATTCTACGGCAAAATAGAATTTGAGAATAGAGGGCATGAAATTTAGAAAGTTACAGCTTATCTATGCCTTTTTCCTCCTAAATATTATAGAAATTATTGAATTCCTATTATAAAATCCTGTGGGAGTCACCAGTTACTCAGTGAATAGAAGAAATGTGAACTCAATTGGCTGATCGATAGGGCATTGGTCTGTAGGTAAGAAAAGCAATTATTTCTCTCAAACGAGTCCAAGTTTGTGTGTGTGTGTGTGTGTGTGTGTGTGTGTGTGTATCCACATATATATGTTTATATTTTTTGCAGTTTTGGCTGGGGCCAGGCTTGAACCTGCCACCCCCAGTATATGGGGACAGCACCCTACTCTCTGTCATTAAGAAAATGTGTCTCACAGGCTCATGGATCTGTGCCTGTGTTTGTCTGTCCTGCTGTGTGGTTTTCAAAGTAATACAAACAAAAGCTCTGAGAATGTTCACAGCCTGTGTAAGTCTTCCCCTTCCCCACAACAGGGGGGAGGAGATGACTTTCTGTCCTGGCATGCCTCCTGCCAACAGGACTTCAGTACAGGTAAAACTTCTACCCTGCAGTGGACTGTGCCTTCTTGACATGTTGAAATCATGCACCTGGCACAAGCAATAGCATGCTGCAGGGTTTCCCAAGGTTATTGGTTCTGGTAGGTTCTAGGCCTTACAATCAATTGATGAGGGTTGAGTCCTGATTCTTTCACTTGGGGAATTTTGAATGTATCACGTGTCCTCTCTGAATCTTTGTTTTTTCATTTGCAAAGTATGCTCAGCCCTATATCTCAAAATTGTTGTAGAGATAATGTTCATGAAAAGTCATAGCAAAGAGCCCAGGCCACAGAGACAGACAGTACAGGAGAGCCCAGCTCATTTGTCATTTGACTCTCTAGGCTTGTGACTCCCTCCATGCCCAGACATACGTACGTCAGTCTGACCACACGGGTCTTGATATAGTGCTTGTTTAAGGCTGAGTCTATAAATGTCTCATCCACCTGTCATGACAACAGAAAGAAATTATTTATTAATAAGATATTTTATAATGAACTACAGAATAAAATGATAGAAACTTTTTTTCACACAGTAATATCATTATTTAAATCAGTGATTCTCCATCTTCACAGTGCAGCAGTATCATTTGCAGAATTTAAAAAAATCACAGATCATAGGCATCCAGGATGTAGGAGAGAGCAGGAGATTTAAATCTCCTGTCCCAGAATTTTTGTTTCAATTGGTCTAAAAGGGACCTAAACACTCATATTTAAAAAATCTACCCAAGTTATTCTAGGGTGCTGATATAGCTCCCTGAAGTAGTAGATCTTTTCTCAAACTCCACGGGAGGAGACTCACTAGAAAGATACAGAGCAGGGATGACACATGGAGGCTTGAAGAGGTGACAGAGAGAATCTTGGTTCAGGCCTGAGTTCGAGCCATTCCCACTGCTCATGGACTGGGAGACCTGGGAAAAGTTGCTGAACTGATTTGAGCCCCTCTTTCCTTACCTGTAAAACAAAGTTGTTGATCTGCTAACTCAAGGCTATAAAAGATTAAACCATGTAAAGATGCTGGATACATTTTAGTAGTTATTGCTGGTGGTTCCCTGGCACCTGCCCTGGCATCGGAGGTCTTAGCTTCTCTGCTGGTTTTTGATTGTAAGGGGAAAGAAGGAGGCATCCAGGATGTAGAAGAGAGCAGGAGATTTAAAAGTTGCTGTTGACTGGGGACTTCAGGGTAAGTCAAGGGGAAGAAAGAGTAATGTGGTGTTGCAGTATCTGGTGAAATTTTTACTCTGTTTATGTCACCAAGGAAGGAGAAGGAAAGTTTCTGCTTAGGGCCTTGGTCACCTGCCCCAGCGTCATGGTGCTAAGCTCCCCACGGACACACTGTGGTTTGCAGCATCCTTCAGTGCCTACTCTGCAGAAGCAGTGTCAGCAGTGTCATCTGGATGTGGCTGCTACTATACTAAGTAATACTTCCTTATTACTATCAGGCATTCACAAATAGTTCATTAGGAACCAAAACGTTCATTATTTCCTTTAGCCGTAACACTAACTCTGTAAAGAATCATTTTCATTCCTATTTGACTAAAAGAGGAAACTGCGGCTCAAGCATTGCATGGATTTTCCCAGCATCATGCAGATAGTAATAACAACGCAGGGACTTAAACTGAGATAGTAATAATAACCCAGGACTAAAACCCAGGTAGTAATAATAACCTGGGATAAACCCAGGTCTTCCATCTCTTCCTACTCAATTACTCAGCCTGGCCTGTACTTTGTGATGTAAATTTTACTTTAGATTTCTCTTATAGAACATACAGCAGTTATCATAGTTGATTTATCTAAACACATATTTTGGGTAATATCTTAAAATCAAAGACATTTAGAAAATAGAGAAATTCCCAGTATCTAAAGTATGTCTTCACTTGTACTTAAATAAGAAAAATCTAAACAGGGTGCGGTGGTTGGGGTTTATGTGTCAGAAACAGAACTATTTTGGAAGACATGTTTTTGCAAGAGAGACACTGTTATGTTATATAACCCTTTCTCTTCTTGCCCCCTTCTTGCCCCCAACCTGTGTGGGTGAGGAGTAGTTCGAAAGAAAAGTCAAACAGGAAGAAATGGGGAGGTAAAAATGAAAAAATTTAAGAGGAAGAAAAGTAAATAGCAGTTGAGTAAAGAAGTTTGGTTTGTAATTATTCTCTGAGTAAGTGCCATCCACAATTGATTCCTAGCCGTTTGTAACTTGTCGGTGAAGGCAGAGGATTAGGCTTTTGACTCCAGATAACTTAATTCACCTGGCAATATGCCTTCTGAGAAGATTACCAAACCCAGCATCAATTCCATCTGTAAGGAAGGGTTCATTTGTCTGGGAAGTAGGATTGAAAGAGTAACATGAGAAAAATGTAGGCAGATGAAACTGGTCATCACAAGACACGTCTCTTCCCCATGACATTCTAGGATGGCCAGGTCTGCTCAGCTGAGAAAGTCTGAGGATAACACTTGAGAAATGGGACCCAGGAGCCCGTCAAAGGGGTTCTCATGCTAGTGAGTTTACACATGAGAAAACATGACATAAATGTTATTGGAGAATGGAGTGTTTATATAAACTAGCTCTCTTGGGACCCTGACATTATGTTTCCCTGGCAGATCAAGGCTTACATCACCAGACACATTTTTTTCCTGCTGACACTCTGAATGTCTAAGTTACCAGAAGCTTCAGAGGAGCTGCATGCCAGTTTGTTGTGAATTTATTATTATTTAGGCAACCCAACAGAGTTAGGGATTAATAAATCTATCTCACCTCCACATTAGGGCATTTTTAGAACTTTGTAGCTGTAGTCAAGTCCCCTAACATTGAACAATCCCCCCTTTTGGGTAGTGCCTTTTTCTGCTTGATTATTTTGAAATGCTGGGAATTGCACTGAGATTAAATCCTAAGAGGGCAATTGAAGGTTAGTTGGGTGTTTAATGAAAGAGTTAGGGAGAGGCTGTCAACTCAAACAGACTCGCCCAGTCATTCGGCTTCCTTCCAGAACCCACTCTGCTGGTGCACGTTGCTGTGCTCTGTCAGTGGATTCCCAACCATCTCCTTGCAGCAGACTGTGTGTTCACATGGGGAGTGTTTCTTGGCTGAGAGTGTAAACCTCAGACAGATCGCCCACTGAAGACTGGATAGTGGACTATGAGAGCTATTTCTCCCTGCAAAACACTGAAACAGCTCCTTAGAACTAAGGGAAGCAAAACCAGGCCTTGAAAAAAATTTCAAGGGAAAACCAGTAGCCTTCCCTTAATTATAATAAGGGAATCACAATGGCTTAAATGAAGTTGCCTTGCTATAGGGTTAAATGGCAGGCAGAAATAGAGAACGGGAGCAGCTGCATTTTACCCTCTTGTTCACAGCCTCAGACATTCAAGGCCTCTCCCTCCATCCCCAGCCTGCTGGGGATCAGAACCACCAGTGCCTCCAGGAACTGCTCCCTTGCTGTCCGGCACACTTCTCAGCTTCCTAAATCACAGTGGGAATCTCAGCTTCCTAAATCATTCCTAACCCCTTCAGGGTTTAGTTAATAAAGCACCAGGTAACACCTTCTTTTAGTTACTCCTCAATCCTCAGGCTAATCTTGTCCCCCTCTGTCTTAATTTTTCTTAGGCCTTTACACCTCCTATTTTTGAGCTAGTTATTTATGAAAAAACATTATTTTATTTACTAACTGCAAACCCTTTATGCACAGAGATGGTGATTTTTCTTTTCATATTCTATAATACCCAGAACAGTGCTTTGCATATTGTAGGCACACAGCAGGTTTTTGTTGAATTAAATTAATAAAAGAAAATGAGAATTTATCACAAAGCCTTACATTTACCAGAAAATTTTTTGGAAGAGAATTTTTACTCATTGTGGACATTTTCAGGAAACTTGATTCCTCGCAGTAAGCACCTGAGGCTGCAGTGATTACAGCTGTAAGAATCATCATTGCTGTCTGCCAGCGGTGCACCAAGCCCAAACCGCATTGTATTTGTGCTCACTCGGCTTCCACATCAACTATTATTATCCTCGTTACACAGATAAGGAAGTGACCTGCCTAAGGTGACACTGCAGTGAGCCATGCAGCCAGGACTGAAACCAGAGCCAGCAAACGCCTGGCAGACAGACCTCGGAGGGAGCACAGGCTTGTTTTCTGAGGCCCCACCCACCAGGCTGGAGCAAGCTCGAATGGATCAGAGACCGAGAGTAGAAGTAAGAAAGGTTGGTTGAAGGTCACAAAAAATGCAGTAAGAGAAAAGAGTAAGTTTTAGGTTTTGGCTGGGGGCAGGTTTGAACCCACCACCTCTGGTATGTGGGGCCAGTGCCCTACTCCTTTGAGCCACAGGTGCCACCCTAAGAATAAGTTTTAGTATTCAATAGTAGAGCAGGAAAATTATAATTAACAATAATTTATTGCCTGTTTCAAAACAGCTAGGCGGGAATAATTGCAATGTTCTCAACATAAAGGTAAATGTTTGAGATGATGGGTATCCCAGTTATCGTGACCACTACCTGTACACTACATATTGTATACAGGTATGGAAACTTCACTTATTTCTAAAATATGCACAACCGTTTATGTCAATTAAAAACCACCTATCACACTCCTCTCCAAAGGCAGCCTGTTTCTTTGCTCTCTAAAACTAAGGCCCACACTCTTGCTTAGTTTTACTGCAATCTCTTGCAGTTGCTACTGTGTCTATTTAAAACCCTAGATTTGTTTTTGATTCAAAAAGTCAGCTGTGAACCATTTGTCCACGCCTGGACAAACTAAGGCCCACCTGAGCGCTGAATGGCGCCCTTGGGGTTTGGGGTTCTGGGCTCCAGGGTGTCAGGTCTGGGCCTGAGGCTTCCTAAGCAGCGCTGCCTCTGCTGGAGAGGCAGTCGGACTCAGAGGCACACAGGGGCCGTGGTGCTCAGGTGTGCACCGTGATTTCTTCTTACCCCAGACGAGGGGCAACAAGGTCACTAAATGGGCCTTGCATTTTGTGGAGTTATCCGCCACTTCTTTGTGTGGGCTAGTCCTTGACAGTGCTTCCTTGAGGAATGTCAAAAGGAAAGGGCATCTATGACTGACTGATCATATACAAAAAGCAGCAAAACATTGCGTAGCCTCATCCCTATGTTTTTTTATTTCTGACATTAAGAGGCAAAATAAATTTGTAGAATTAAAAAGTTTGCAATTAAAGATTATAAAGAACAAAATATTAGCTTTCAGTGTACTACAGGAAATTCGATTTCTGAATTAAAGGAGAATAATCTCTAATTTGGATCTGTGTAAAGGTTCTACAAAAAATATTCAAAATCATTATGTAGAACATTTATGACCTCTCCAGGTTTGTGGGTTTTAAATTTCTAAATCTGATTACTTTCTTGGAGAGTGATACCGAAGGGAGAGGGAGGAGAAGGGAACATTCTCCCAGCCTCTCCTTTGGGACTAAAGTGGTGCTGTATTCATGAATGGTGGTGATGATCTACACAGATCAGCTGGCAGAGGGAACATGTGCTGTGTGTACAGCTTCATCAGGAAAGTTAGATAGAGCTCCTACTGCTTCCTTTCTCAAATACTTCCCACAAAAAGCATTTCCATCCACATTTTCCCTCCAACTATAGATTGTTTAAACTAGACACACACACACACACTGCTTCTACTGTTCTTTCCTCATCAGAAACTGGAATTGACATGCGGATGAGAATATCTCTATCTAAAGTAAACCCAATGGATTGGCTAAAAGAAGGTGATCTAGAATAGCATGTAGGATGTATAGATTTTGATGAATTTAAAAAATTAAATGGGAGAAGAATTTATATAGGTTTAAATAATTTTATTTCCTATCTTAGCTAAGTCTTTTTCTAACAAGTAGAACAATTTAATGGCAAGAGAAAGACTTGGAGTTCCCTGCACAAGCTCACATCTCCCAGCTGTCACTTACTAGTGATGGACCTTAACCTCACAAACTTAGCTCTCTTACCTGTGCAGAGGGGGTCATAACACCTTGTTTGTGGCGTTACATTTTGGATTAGACATAAAATATACAGAAGTTGGGATTTTCCTTGAGGCTTCTAATTAAACACATTGAAGGCAGAGGTAACAATACACATCCTTCAGTCAGGCCTAATCTTTAGTTACAGAATAAAGGTAAATCTGAGGTCTCAGGTAAGAACTAAGCCATGTTCTACATCTAATTTTTCTAACATCTGAATATGAAGTTTCTTGCTAGTCTCTGCTCAATTTTTTTTCAAATCTAATTGCTTCTCTCTAGACACAGGCTGACTTTAAGCTCTGAACACCTTTCACATCTCTTTCCTTGGGTAATTCCAAATTTGGGGTAGTCTTTGGCACCTTTCCTAGGTGTAAGTTCACCTTGACTCAGTCTCTTTTTCTCAGCAGGACTTCCTGCTATAGTATCCGTCAGAGCCAAATCTCTCCACTCCTTTATACAGCATTCCCAAACTACATTTATTTCTTTGTATCTTCTTCTGTTTCTCCACAACTATAAACCTAACAGTCTGAAGACTATTTTGAAGTTCATTTTGGGTCCTGTCTCTGATGTTTCTGAAGACAGAGAAGAGAAAATTTAAAACTGCCTTGGGCGTGGGGTCAGTGCTTCTTGGGAGAGAGGGAACCCTAAGTAAACTTGCAACTATTGTCATCCTTATTGGAGATAGTGTTCTATAGTTCATGTTGCAAATATATTTGAAAGAGAATAATGTACCAGGATAAATACTTAATTGCTGGTATTCAGTGGGATGGTGGACAGGAGGTAAAATTGCCAGATGATTCTTTTGGATGACAAGAATCATGGGCATGGAAATTTATTAATGACAAGGAATCTTGGTTCACTCATAATAAATTAATGCTTGCTCTCAAAATCCTGACTGCATCAGTTACTGGCTGTATGACCTTGAGCTAATTGACCTTTCAGTACTTGACTTTCTCATCTGAAACCTAGGAGAGTAATTGTACCTTTCTTGGCATTCAATATGTGTTAGCTATTACTATTGTTACAGTATTGTAAGTTTATAACTTTCACATTTGTAATGATCTTAAAATACTTTGCTATTTCTGAAATATATTCTCTGAGTGAATCACCACCCTAGTCAGTGCCTCTTTTCAAACTCATAAACTCTGAATAATACTGAAAGCAGTCTACTTATTTGGAAGCACCATGAGTTACAGGTGACTGGTTATTGGGCCCTCTCCAGAGGGTAACATGAAAGGAGAGGGGCGCCTGTCTCACCACTTAGGGGACTGGGGTGGGTTTGGGCAGCATCTGGGCGGGAGCTCATTTCATTTTTGCATCTCCCTTTGCACTCAGGTCAGTGAAGCCCAACCTGAGGAAGAACAGGACCTGCAACCTGTCTTTCTTGGCCACCTAATTAGCACCCATGTAGGACAGAAAAGAATCTGGTTTTATACATTGGGATTTAGCACAATAAATAGGAGTGGCTCAGCATGAGGCATGAACTCTTCCTGTAATTCTTCTAGGCCTGACTTGGTGGGAGGGCCATGGGGGTAGAAAAATATCTGTCTTATTTAAACAGAGGTAAAATAACACAAAGCCTTTCCTAACCACAAGAGCCCTTGTTGATATTTCTTTTCTTTGAAGATCTTCTGCGCTTACTGTCATCAACATGCAATTTAGTCATTAATTATATAAAGTCACTTTGGTCATTTTCCTGTGTGTCACTCACATCTCTCCAGAGAGACTGAAAACAATATGAGGAGACAGATGGTGCTTCCTCTTCTGCGAGATCCAGCTCTGAGGAATGAAGTGAACCCAATACTCAAACATCGTGCACAACGAAAAAAGCTCAGCTGTTCAGTTGGTTATGTTTGAAATTGACAAACCAAACCCCTATTTAACATCACATTCAAAGGTGAACTCTAGATGCACTAAAGACCTAAAGTAAAATGTAAAACTATAAAGTTACTAGAAGAAAATACAGCAAAATAATCTTATGATTTAGAAAGAGGGAAGGATTTCTTAACATGTTGACTGCCATGCTAGAAAAAATTTTTTTCCCTTGAGTCTTTTATTAGGTCAAGATAGGTCAAGAGATTTTGTGAGTTATATATGCTTTATGAGGCCCTGAGCCCCAAACTAGCATAAGTTAAATACAACTCACATGGCAGTTAATGTGTTAAAAAAACATTCAAAACACAATAATAAGGCAAAGAAAATTGACTAATATGATTACTTCAAAATTATATATTTCTATTGCATAAAGGACAATGGTCAACATTTATATCATGCAAGTAGAAGACAGAATGAATAAATGGGATGTCTATAGCCAACACACCAATAATGCCTAGAAAATGTAACAAATACCTTTAAAGCAATATAAAACAAACAAACAAAAAAGCAATTCTAGTGGAAAAACAGGCAAAGGATGTTTACAGGCAACTTACAGGAATCAAAGTCCAGAAGCTAATAAGTATATGTAATAATTCATTTGTAATTACAAAAATTCAAATTACATTACAAGTAAAATGGCAGTTCATGCCCACTACGTAGGCAAAAATTAGCCAAACGCTACCAAGTGATGTGCAGGGAAGGTCTGTGTCGCCCCCAAATTCGTACAACCATCCCGTATACTAGGGAACCCAGAACCTTGGGTGCTAACTAGTGAAGGTGGAGCCATCACTAACAGGATCAGTGTCCTCATGAAAAAGAGTTTCTCGTGATTTTACAGGGCGAGGAATAGCAAGGAGAGGCCTTCCATGGGCCAGACACTAAGCTGCCAGTTTCGTGGCCACCCAGACCTTGGACTTCCAGTCCCCAGAATTGCCCAGATTAGATGCCTGTCGTGTGAGCCTCAGCCCGCAGGCTGTTGTTACAGCAGCTGCGACAGACGGAGACACCGGGCGGGGCAGAGGCACGTGGACACCAGGCTGCGCGTGGAGACCGCGTGTGGTATAGCAGCTTGGGCGGAAACAGGGTGGTGTTGGCGGAGGCAGCGCCGTGTTGGGTGGGACGGGAGCCCGGCCATATTATGGGGGGCAGGGCTGTGTTTCGAGAAGAAGGGAGGACGATAGGCAATAATGTGCTATTATTAAAACCAATAATAATTGCAAATTAAAAAATTTTTTAAAGTGCCAATCAGAGAAAGGCCCTGTGTGGGCACAGAGTGACAATCGGCAGGACTTAGCTGAAGTGCCAAGGCCTCCTAGACAGCTCAGCCAGCTCAGTGCCCTCTCTAGCGGCTTCTGCACCTGTGCGTTCCTCCTGTGCGCCTCAAGGCCTGGCGCATTCCTGCCCTTTCCCTTCAGTAGACAGACTTTCTCCCTTAACACAACTATAGAAATGTTGCTATACAGCACGTGCCACGTTGTTTTCTTTGTGTGTTTGTTCTCTGCAGGGTTCTGTGGAGTTCCTCAGGGTCAGAGCAGGAAGGAGGCCTTGGGGGCCAGTGCAGACCCTGATGTACTCTGAAATTACCCAAGAACGGATCTAATGCACCTTTCTAAGATGCTCTGAAAGGATGGAGGAACATGAACATTAATTACTGGTTGGGGAGGATGAGACCACAAGATAGAAAAATTGGACATAATTTAATGTTAGCTGAAAATAGAGATTATAAGATATCCATCTATGATATCACTGTAAATACGTGGCAGTAGAGTGCGCTGTAGACAAGGATTAGGTGGTGACATGAAAAATGACCATTTCTTTGAGAAACAAAGAAAATATTTTGAAAAATAAAAGTTCTAAGACTAAAAAACCCCAATACCCTTGTCATTTCTTTCCTTTTAAAATAACGCTGTGCTTCTGTGCTTCCTTGTTTAGGGAAACTAATCTGAATTTAACTGTTGAGTGAGGTTTTTGGAGTCTTGAGCTGAGTTTTTACACAGCTCAGCATGCTTTTCTCTCTTTGAGGGGAAGGTGGTATTTTAGTGTTAACAAAATTGTTAGCGTTTAACTTGAATATTATGCAAGAGTGTATGGTTTGTTTTTTTTTAGTTAATACATTTGTAAGATAAAATGAACATTTTTGATCTTCTTTTCTGTTTTCACGTATTAAAAACCCCCTCAAAATCCTAACATATGATCTTACAAAAAGGCATGTAGCTTTATAAATAACAAATTTTATTATGGTTAGGCTTTTCTACTGGGGGGATATTGTAGTGGAAACAGAGTGGGGGCACAGGCTAGGGCATCTTGGCCTCAATGCTATCACCTCCAGATGAGGAAGTTGGATGAGAAAGTGCCCGAAACACTGACCTGTTAGACAGCAGGCTCTCTTTCCCCTCCTTCCCCACCCTTCTGTCCCATTTGACACTTATGAGGTGGGTCTTGGATAGAATCTGCAAGGTGATTCTAATGCAGATGGTCTGAAAGTCATGGTTTTACAAATGAGGGAAATGATTACAAAACACCTTTCACCTGTATTATACTATGGTTAAAAGAATTTTACTCAACTTACCAAACTTTCACTCATCTCCCGTAAGTCCTTAAGTTGGTATGTGTTGCTTTGCCTAGAGTTGCTATTGACTCGTAGATTTGAGATTTTAAAGGTTCCGTGATAGTACTCCATATTTTGGCCTGTGACAAAAATGAAAAGCAGGAAGTTAAGTGATTTGGGCAAAGATTTTAGGATCTCAGACTCAACTATAATGTGGCTAATATAAAGTCTTGAATATATCACTGAGATTCTGGGCTGAGCTGTCACTGGGCACTCTATTTATAATTGAGTTTCATTAAAAAATAATAAAAATAACAACTAATATTATTATGTTAATAATAGTAGCTGACATCTGCCGAGGGCCTACTATGTGCCAGGCACTGTTTGGTGTGCTTTACACAGATTAATTCATCTGATCCTTACATTGGCTCTCTGAGACTGGTGTCACCTCTGTTTCACAGATGAGCTGAGTAGGGTGCAGAGGCTGTAAGTTACTTGCTCTGTGTCATCCAATGGGCAGTGACACAGCTAAGGCTTGAGCCCAGCAAGCCAGCCCTAGAGCTGAAGCATTCCAGCACTGCATTGGCCCTGTTGAGAAGACGGGTGAATGAGCCTCTTTGTAAGTTTTGCCTTGTAACGGCTGAGCCAGGCACACTAAGAAATCATGGGGAGCTGTCCATGAAAAGGTGGGGAGCTGTCTGGGATTGAGAAGAGAAAGGGTGTGGCAGGATTTAGGTGAGGTTAGAGAGCAGTGGAAATTTCAGAGGAACTCAGTAATTTGAGAAGGAAGGCTCGGGGGCAGTAAAAAGTGGCAAAGCTTTAGAGTTAATGACAGAAAATGGAAAAAACACACTACAGCCTTAGTCCTTGGGGTCCTGGTTCAGGGAGGGAGCAATAGGTTTCTGGCCTGGGACCCAGGAAGGAGGGAGGGTCTCAGGAAGATGGATCCTCTATGTCTCTTTTGGGAAGGTCCCTGACTATATATGTGTAGAATTCATACTGTTGTGAGACTTCACTGTCACCGTAAAGGGGCCTTTGTGCTACCAAATGAACTGAACTGAGAATCTTGGCCAGGAACTGCAGCTGGGCTGTCACCAGGCCTGGGATTGTGGTATCAGCTCTTAGGGCCCAACAGAGGCTCCCTTACCCCAAGTCTGTAGGGGACAGTGGACAAAGCCATTTGAGTGAGACAGGCAAGTTGTCACACGCACCCATGGAGATTTGTTCAAAAATGTAAATGGTTGTCTTGGTGCAGAGAGAGGTGCAATATAAAAAAGAGAATTCTGAAATGAATTATTTGTGTGATTGTAAATGTATTAGTCAATAAAAATATAATCCCTGAATATTATTGTGGAATGAGTAAATTTTTTTTCTGAAAATAAGTTATAACATTTTGTACTTTTAAATTATTACAGTTTATCAATAATTTTGAAATTCATTATTTCATTTGACATGAGCTTTTCCTTTGCTCTAGAAATGTCAGTGGAAAGAAAATGATGGGTTATAAGTAAAACAATCAATTTTAATAATTAAATAACTAGTTTATTATAGTTTTTCATTTTGATATGTAATTAATGAACGTTCTTTACTATGACTACTAGTAAATTTAAGACAATTACTGTTTTTGATCTTCTTGTGTAGGTTCTCAAAAAAATTACTGGATTAGGAACTCTAAAGAAATAAGAAATCAGTGTACTTCGCTGTGTCCTGACTACACAAATAAGTACTCACAAGTTATAGGCATTTAGTTATTTGTTGGTAAAATGGCTGAATACATTAGAAAATATTTTGAATGTGGACAGTTACATGTCAGTTTACCAATTTGTATAGGTGGAATTATATTTACATATATGTAAACAAAGCTTTGTAGAAAAATCAAGTCAAACCGAGCAAAACCCCTAATTTTACTTACCAGAGACTAAGAAGGGAGCCAGAAGACCAGCAGTCACAGCCCCAGCTGTCAGCAACAGTGCAGTGAGCCCTGCTATAGTCCAAGGCTTCAGGCCTCTGCACCCGAGGCTGAGTCCCACAGCCCTGTAGCAAGGAAAGCCCACCTGTTACTTGTGCACTGCAACACTGACACGCTCTCTGGTCTTCCTCAGGAAAGCTCACATTGCTCTAGCCTGCCTTTCCCAGCAAGAAGTCAGCTTTGGTCAAAGTCATCTGCTGTAAAATGTTTGAACCAGGATCTGGGAATCTTAGTGTTTCCTTGTGTCTGCTTCTGGCAGTGCCTGGTGACCTCTCCCTGGTGGTCACACCTGACTGTGCTTAGCAGGGAGCTCCACGGCACAATGCTTGAAAAGCACCATTTCCCTCCTCCAACACTTAGGTCCTTATCTGCCTATCCCTTTGGAGTTTACATGATGGAAGAGTGGTCCAGTAGCTAGGGGAATGCTGTTCAGCTGCCGTGTCAGTCTTTATATCCCACAGGGTCATGAGCATCTGGGGGCAAATAGTGACCAACTGACTGGAGTGACAGTTTGTCAGTGAAGTGTTTCTCCTTTTGAGAAAATCTTTGTACAGCATAGCAGGTGCACGATACTAAACGGCAAAAGTGGCAGGGATCATGGATGGAAACTGAAACTACTTAATCTTATATAAATAAACTTTCAACTTACTATCAACTTTCATAGACATGTATAAGCAATAGAAGAAAGCCCAAATGTATCATTATCTTCCCTTTCTTTGTTAGCCATTTGATAATATCACTTCAGATTTGGAAAGAAATACACTTAGTAAAGACTTCTGGAATCTAGATTTTTTTAAGTATAGATGCAGCATTTTGCACACTTGTTTTTCCTGCTTTAGTTGCACCTAGAAAACAAACACAGGTGTACTGTTTTCCATTGCTGGGAAACAAATTATCAGACTTAACAGCTTGAGGCAACCCCATTGTTAGCTACAGTTTTGTGTGTGACCTGGCTGGACTCTCTGCTCCGCATCTCTTCCTGCTGAAATCAGGCTGTTAGTTGGGGCTGTTCGTCCACCTAAAGAGTCTCACTGTGTCACCCTTGGTAGAGTGCTATGGTGTCATAGCTCATAGCAGCCTCAAACTCTTGGGCTCAAATGATCCTCCTCAGCCTCCCAAGTAATGGGACTACTTACTACATTAGGAGTGAAATAGACTTGCTAGCTGGTCTGAGAAGCTAATCAATAACTCCCTTTAGAATCAGAGAGTGTATTTTGAAATTCAGTATGAAGATTTATGGGACCATAATCCTGTCTGTAATGTATTCACAGGTGCCACTACACCCAGGTAAGGTTTCTAGTTTTAGTAGAGACAAGGTCTTGCTCTTGCTCAAGCTGGTCTTGAACTCCTGAGCTTAAGGGATCTGCCTGTCTTGATCTCCCAAGTGCTGAGGTTATAGGCATAACCTGCTATCCCCAACCTCAACCTGAGATTTGTGATCCTCTTCCAAGCTCACTCAGGTATTAGGCAGAACTCAATTCCTTTTTTTTACTTTTAAATTTTAATATTTGTATTTAATTTAAAATAATTTAAAAAATTTTTAACAGGTTTAGGGAGCACACATTAAACTTCATCACATGCATATAATGTATGGGGGAGTCTGGGCTTCTGTGTCTCCATCACCTAAGCAATCAGCCCTACAGTGGAACTAAGGCCCTGCTTCTCAATGGCTGTGAGTCAGAGGCTGCTGTCAGTGCCAGGTGTCCCTTTAGTTCTCAAGGCCAGTGGTGGGGACTCCCCACATCGAGCCTCTCTCCACACAGAGCTGCTCGCTCCTGATGTGTCACCCACCAAGGAAACTGCCTCCATATTAAAGTCAGTCAATTTGGGACTTTACATTTGCAAAAGCCCTTCACAGCAGCACGTAGATCAATACCTGTGGAATAACTGGGGGAAGGTGCACGTATACCAGAGGGTGGGAGTCTTGGGGGTCAGCTTAGAATTCTGTCCACTACAGCTGAAAATATCATGACTTTTCATGAAAATGGACAAAAACCTATAGCCATCAAAGAAAGCATGTCAGATTTAAATCTTAATTTTTGTAGAGGTGGTGGTGGGAAACTATTTCATGAAATGGGAATTCTCCGTTAGGCATAATATTAAAAGAAGACTAAGGGATGTTTTATTCAAATAATAACTTTGGGAATACAAAATGAACTTTTGGAAATTAAAATAGAAATGAAGCTAAAGGTAGTCAACCCAGACTGACATTCCCAGATCCTGGTTCTAACACTTTACAGCAGGTGCAGATGACCTTGACCAAAGCTGACTTCTTTGGTCAGCTGATTAGCAGGCTTCATCGTGACCTAATCAGCATTTTGCATTCTTTTAAGGAAAGAGTAAGCAAGGGGGAACCTTACTCAGTGTGACACAACCTATAATCTCCATGAAATTCATTTTATCATATTGATTACACCTTCATTAAGTTTGATTGTTCCGTATTTAAAAGGGTGTATTCGTGGCCTGTTTTTTCTAAGATGACTGTCAGTGGAAGTGTGGTGATAGTTTGACTGACCTTGAGATGGCTTTCTGGGATCTGCGCCTGAAAGACTCACACTGGGAAGCACACACAGAGCAGGTGGATTGTCCCTGGTCAGTGCTGGGTGTGCAGCTCCTCAGTGACAAGGCTCAAAGCTACAACTTCCATGCATGTGAGTGAGGTCAAAGGTGATCCAGTTAAGCAGAAGACATAACAGATCCCCTACTCCCCTGCAATCATCCTGCTCCCAGAAGAGCCTTTGCTAAAGGCTGCCACGTTGGCTACTCTAGGTCGACCTCATGCTCTTTATCATTTTATCTGCAAAATCCGATCTTTTCCTTTTGAGGGCTACTTTTCTGCCTTCTTGTAGATATATGTTAACATCACATGAATGCGAATACATTACAGACCAGTTATGTTCCCATAAATCTGCACAAGGAATTTCAAAATACACTACCTGATTCTAAAGGAAGTTATTGATTAGCTTCTCAGGCCAGCAAGCAAGTCTATTTCACACCTAATGTAACTGAACAAAGGTGCTAAAGGAATTGAATTCCTGCCATTTAACACAGAAAACTTTGTTCCCCCTTTCCTAGTCTGGGGCACATCCTTGAAAGGAAATTCTTATAGAATCAAAGCACTAACTCTCCTTTCACCAAAGAAAAATATATTTCCCTTTGAGCTGTTGAATGCAGTCATTTTCTACAAGGAAAGCGATTTTCTGTGGGCCTTGATGTGCTCTGACGCATGAGTGCCGTCTGGATGCTGGAGCCTCTTGGAGCAACTATTCAATGCCAATGATGACAAGATACAGAGCTATTAGGTACGACGTGTTTGCTTGGCCGTATTGTTGGTATCTTATTGCATTTCACCTTCAAATACTGTTCTCAGTAGAATTATTTTTCAGCATTTTACAGATTAATAACTTACCCTGACAAAAAAATAACTTGCTCAATTCACTCAGCCAATGAGTTAGAATTTAACTTTGGATACAATGGCTTAGAAGCACATTTTCTCTGTGATATGAAATAGTCTTTTAGAAGATTTTTTTTTTCCTTTTCCAGAATAGGACTCCCTTTAATCCAAATGAATGATTTGTGGAATTCCAAGCAGCATGAAAGGTAAGTGAGGGGTTTTATGAAATGAGGGTAGAGATGGTTTTACTGATCATAAATTTCATCATTCTTCATTATAGTTAAGTCTTGAATTTGATCCTGATTTTTTATATTCTCCCTTTTCACTGGCCTTAAATTTTCACTTACTTTCAAAACATTAAAATTCCTTTCTTCCTCATCCACACGTAGACTCTCATAAGAGCATAAGCGTGGCCATGGCAACAGAGTGGGAAGGAGGCTGTGAGGCAGGTGTGTGTTCAAGTACATTAATGACCCTGGTACATTTGGAAGGCTTTTACTTAATTTGATATGTCTGTCTGTGCAAAATAAAAATGTTCATTGAAGGAAATTCAAAATACATCCAAAGTCTCCAACTATAGACCAAGGAGAAGAAAGACATTCAGAACTTGAAGATAGGTCTTTTGAAATGATCCAGTTAGATAAAAATGTATAAAAAATAAAATAAAAAAGAACAAAAAAATCCTTAAAGATGGTTGGGGCAAGGTAAAAACCAGCTGAATCTGTGAATTGTTGGTATCCATGAGGGAAAACAGAGATTAAAAGGCTGAGAAAATCTATTTAATGAAATCA